ATATATATATATATATATATATATGTGTGTGTGTGGGGGGGGGAGTTTGGGATTGCTTATAAAAACAACTCATTGACTTATTCCGATGTGACACCAGTAATAAGCACTTTTGAGTGTTTGAATAAACAACTTATACCGGTGTCAAACTGGTAATAAAGAGTTTTTGAAGAAGTTAAACCCTTATGGCTTATAATAAGTTGATAAATGGTTTTTGTATAAAAGCATAAGTCGTTTTAAATAAGCAATCCCAAACACCCTATATATATATATATATATATATAGAGAGAGAGAGAGAGAGAGAGAGGGGGGGAGGGAGAGACACTTTTCACGATCATGATCATGTTGACCAAGTTTGTCACGTCCATTTTAGACATGTTGTATCATATGTAATTTTGAAACTTTTCGTCATCTCATAAATTAACTGACCTCTAATATGACATATACCATATGTGAATGTAAACTAATGAAAATAAAACATCTATAATGTAACAAAATTAAAATATATAATTATTTTATATAAAAATACACAAACTAAATACATTTGATGTTGTAAGTATTTAATCATTTATTTTATAATTATAATATATTTAATAAAATAAAATAAATACCAAATAGCACACAAGAATATTTCCAAATAAATACCAAATAGCACACAAGAATATTTCCAAAAAGTAGCACATGGTTTGTACAAGTGGAGGTTTTTACACCTAAACAAAAATCCCTTTTGTTTTTTAAATTAATATTGTGATTTATCAATGTAAAAATATTTTTATGATATTTGATAAAATATATTATTTTTTTGTAATTTTTAATTAAAATAATTAGGTTTATCTATGGTTAACTATTTGATTTATGTAATGAATATTTGATGATCTGTATAAATATTCGAAGAAGCAGGAGAAAGTTAAAAAAATTTATGATTTCTTCGAACATCTAAAATAAAACATTTGTAATTTTTATGAATTCAGTATGATTTCTGTAATGAATATTTGATTATCTGTAATGAATATTTGTTTGTTTTACCTCTAATTTTCTGCAGTAATTTTTTAACACTACCTTCTAACCCGCAATGTCATACGATGTTTAGGTAAAGATCAAAAGTCTTAGGTGACGTTTGTTTTTTAAGAGGTGCTGAAGTCTGATTTCACTTATGTTTTTTCGTAATATGATTTCACCTCTTAATACATCTGAAATCTTAATCGACCAAACTAGTGCAAAAATATAAAAGATAAACAGCCTTAATAGTTCTTACTAACAAATCTCTTCCACCCCCTAAAATATGAACCATTTGATAGAAGTCGGATTAAGATTAAGAGGTATTAATGGATACATTTACCACTTAAAATTTTAGAGAACATTAGAGCTTTTAAGCTCTTATTTTAGAAGTAAAACAAACGCTATTAATACCCTTATGTCTAAACGAATCAGATTTCATATGTATTAAGAGGTAATTTTGAAAAAACAAACAGGCTCTTACTTGCTCATTTACCGTTTGTCTTTCATGCATCTTTTTTCTCATGTTCACTCACAAAGTCTCGTCTCTCGCTTTTGTTCCATATTCCGCCAAAAATGCCAACTGGAAAACATATCTTTAGAAACGCTTTTCGCAAGTTGTGATATAAACACAATCTCTTTGCTTTTTTATTGAATTTTATAAATAATTAATTATTACTAATTAATAATATTATTAAACAAAAGAAATCAATTTAAAAATTGTAAACATAAACCACCATTTTCAATTGACAGTTTATTCATATGGAACATCTTTATCATATTAGGTTATATTTGATAAATATCTGTTATTTATAAGCTAACTGATAGCTGATAAGGTATCAGCTAGCTGTTGAACAAACTTTATTTGGCAAAAACTAGTTGATAAGAATGTAAAATAACCAAAAAGAATATCTTGAAAAATTAATCAATTATAATTTTCTAAAATATAATTAAAACAAATATTTAATAATATAATAGATTAATTAATACAAACAACATGGTCAAAAAAAAAATTGATTAAAAGAATTTTAA